CATGACAAACAAGAGATTTCAGATGTGACAACAACTCTTAAAATATGGTTACAATTATTTATGAAGAGATATAATGTACATATGAATACCTTTATAATGTATTATACATACATTATACACCATTTTTAATAGTTTTGCAAAAGTAAACAATAACAACATTGAATCGGATTATGCTGAATAAGAGTGTTGTAGTCGTACTGTTGTAGTATGAGAACTGAAGGTAGTTAAAGTGTGAGGGGAGGAAATCTTCAAAAGGCTTGTCTCTTCCAGCGGTGGATGCCAGCTCCACGACACAGTTCTGTTTGCAGCTCAAAACGTGAAGGTAATGATCTATGATCAAAGCAAATATAGACATGAATACTTCAAAATCCATATTTATGAAACATTCAGAGAAACACAAATTCATACAAGGAAAAAAACAAACTCGAATAAGACATCAAACGCCACGAGATTTCAAAATTACATAAATGATTAAATCAAAGAGAATCTTCTCCATGAGAAACAAGCACAATCTGGTGTTAACTCCAAACCAGAAGCATCAGGATCACACGTGCCTGTCATAGATTGAAAGAGGTCGGCTTTGTACTCCATGTAGTTGTAACCGTCATAATCGAACGCTCCTTCGCAGAGAACTCTGCAATCTTCATAAGCACTGAAGTATTCCTCAACAGCGGCCTCGAAGTGCTCGATGGCTGGCGCAAAATCTTCCACACTGTAATGGATCTTGCCTTCTAAAAATTCAGCCTGAAAACAACAGTGACAGTCAATTATACTAAAGCTTTATTAACTATATTTATCTATCTATCTATTTATCTATCTATCTATCAATCTATCTATCTATCTATCTATCTATCTATCAATTCATCGATCCATCTACCTATTCATCATCCATTCCATCCATCTGCCTATCCATCCATATACCTACACATCTATTCAGCTACCAATTCATCCATCCATCCATCCACCTATATTCATCCATCCATCTACCTATCCATCCATTCAGCTACCAATTCATCCATCTATCTATCTATCTATCTATCTATCTACTTACCAACTCATCCATCCATCTAACTATATTCATCCATCCATCCACTTACCTACACATCTATTCAGCTACCAATTCATCCATCCATCCACCTATTCATCCATCCATCTATTTATCCACTTACCTACTCATCCATTCAGCTACCAATTCATCCATCCATCCACCTATATTCATCCTTCCATCCACCTATTCATCCATCCATCTATCTATCTATCCACTTACCTACTCATCCATTCAGCTACCAATTCATCCATCCATCTATCCATCCATCTATCTATCCATCCATCCATCTATTCACTTACCTACTCATCCATTCAGCTACCAATTCATCCATCCATCCATCTACCTACCTATATTCATCTATCCATCTATATATTCATCCATCCATCTATTTATCCACTTACCTACTCATCCATTCAGCTACCAATTCATCCATCCATCCACCTATATTCATCCATCCATCCACCTATTCATCCATCCATCTATCTATCTATCCACTTACCTACTCATCCATTCAGCTACCAATTCATCCATCCATCTATCCATCCATCTATCTATCCATCCATCCATCTATTCACTTACCTACTCATCCATTCAGCTACCAATTCATCCATCCATCCATCTACCTACCTATATTCATCTATCCATCTATATATTCATCCATCCATCCACCTTCCTTTTCATCCATCATCTCTGATATATTCAGATTAATAAACATTCCTCGTACCATGTGCGGTCTCTCCTCCAGGTCCTTGAAATCAGTCGCATGCACCCCAGCCATCATCCTGTAGTACTCTAAATTCTGTTTCATCTCGACATGTTCAGGGTTTGCTATGAAAAATGTATTTGCTGCTGCCACTGCCTTGTCAAGCTTGTTTATCTGTAGGTACAAAGAGGACCAAAATATTCAGATATATTGGTTAGAAAACACTCATGCTTTCCAAGTTATACTTTAGAACAAAATTGTTCCTAGATTATAGCTAGCTAAGCATGACAAACAAAAGCATTTATATAAATTAAACATTATCATTTTCACCATGGATGTAGAAGTCTAAGTCATCTTTTTTTTTCTTCATTTCAACAGCTCACTCTAATTGTTATGGTAATTATATATTTTTAATGCAAAACTCATATATAGCCTATATGCACACAAACAAACTAATTAAAAAATGTTTATAAGTATGTGTATATATATATACATTTCCTATTTTGTTTGTTATGCTTAGCTATATTCTAGCAACAATTTGGTCTCTAAAGTATAACTTTGAGAGCATGATTTTAATGCAAGAACTATGCATTTACATTAAGCCTAGTAGTCTGAGTCTCACGTGCCCGGATATCTCATTTTAAACCATAATTTTAATAGGCAGTTGTATTTTAGAGCCTCTCATTTGAGTTCTGTAGCATTTGAGACTGCAAGGCTCCACCTAAAGACGTGGCACAGTGAAGTGAGTTTGGGGGGGTTGGGGAAACGTGGATGAGCTTCTCAAACATTTAACCATGCAATGCTATCTGCGCTGTAAACAGTTATGCACATCTGATGCACAGCATCTGACACAACTCGGTGTCCTCTGATTAATGTTTACAATAAGCTCGTCCAATGAGACGCACTGATTTTGTTCCCATTCCGGCTTACTTTTTAAATGCCTTTGCGTTTTTTATAAAAAAAAGTTTGTCATGCATTTCATTCATGCTTGCCTCTTATTTATTTTTACCTTAAAGTAAGCCACTTGCAGATAATTGTAAGGCGTCCTCTTCTTGAACTCCTGCTCTATAGTTTCACTAACTTTATAAAGTGTCGGCGGTCCCAGTTTCTCGCTTTCACATGCATTCACACAGTCGGCCCGTTTGAGAATCGTCTGGAAAAACGCTAAATCCTCCACGGCTCCGGTTCCTGGCATCGGGACACCCAAACCTGGAAAAGAATCCCCGAAAGCGGTGTTATTCGCGCAGGATAAGCGGCAGTACGTCTGGATTTTACGAAGCGCTCCTTTATTCCGCAAAGCTCTTTCCATGTTGAGGATCACAGCTAGCCAGTCCTGCTTATAATACGCCTCCACCGCGTTGTCAAAAAGCAGATCGTAAGGCTCAAGTATTCCATTGATTTGGGGTTCACACAAGGTGAAATGTACAATGCAGAGGATTGAGATCAGGGACAGTGAGGTCCACATCTTGGAGACTGTAGGCCTGTGAGGTAGAGCTCGGTTTTGGAAACTCTCCAGTCTCCTAAAGTCTTTGGAGAGGGTGGAGCTCCAGGACTGTGTGAAAGCCTCTGCGAGTCCTGGGACATTCAGGGCAACTATGTGAATATGGATTCAGACACAGATTTGAGTGAATTAAGGCATTTAGAACTAAGATTATGAGTATTAGTGTTGTCAAAACGATTAATCTAAGTTTATATACTATAAAAACCTTTATAGATTAACTTTTAATCGCAATTAATCGAGTGGACAGCAAAGTATATGCCTAAAGTATAGGCCTACACTGTAAAAGAAAATATTGTTGGTTTAACTTAAAAAAAAATGAAGTAACCTGGTTGCCTTAAAATTCCTAAAGTTCATTGAAATGGAAAAATTGAGTTAATACAATGGGGGAGATTGATTTAATCATCAGAAACTCAAAATATTATATTATCTGAACTACATTAATTATTTAAGTTGATTTGACAAAAGAAAAAAATGTTGTGTTTACAAATCATGAACATATATATATATTTTTTTACAGTGTACTAAAACTGTGTGAATTGAGTTGAGTAACTTAAATATTACAATTGGGTCCAGTAATCTCTTAAAGTGGTGTCTTGTCATATTTTTACATTTCATTTGCTTGTCTTTATCAGTAGAAAAAGTTGGTTAATACTTAACACAGTAAACATTATTTACTGAGTCATTATGAAACACAATTTACTAGGCTACTTAAAGGGGTAGTTGATTATGATATCACATTTAACATTAGTTACAGTTTGAGCATACAGTCGGCAACGCGTCATGGGGGGCGTGGTCGGCGTGAGGGAAAGCAGCGCGACCATAGTATGTATTTGAATGACATAAATGTCATATTATTGCGAGTCATTGACGCCTGCCAACAGGTGTTCTGCTGACGATTCATGCTACCCATCGAGATTTGCTACTTACCGGTTATGCGCTTGTGCAGACTCATAGTTTGTTTATTTTTTTTAACAAAAGGTTCATTTTCCAGTTAATGTATAATTTTCCCTTTAAAAAATGCTTACTACCATATGAATATTTGTACAGTCAGCCAGCTGAAAAAGAATAACTGAAAGTTTCATTTACTATGAGGAAAGGTGTACTTTGACAAGTCAAAGATGAATATTTTATGATAATTTTTACTTTTCACACCGTTTTAAAAATAAAAAAACAGTAGTCTACAGTAGCTACTCATAACTTAGAATTGTATTATAATTGTATTTCATACGACTTTAATCGGCATTCTGTGATCAATTCGCGCTACGGTAGCATTTTTCGACAAGGCAGCAAAAATCGACCGGTACATTGCAAAATGAACTGATTGCCCTTATTTAATTAAAAACTGGGGTGAAAACAGCTTGCATAATTCAGATAACAGGAAAGGTCCAAAAGTGATAAGCAAAACAAATGATAAACTTGTGCAGACAATTTTTGGTTTTATAATTTTCCAATTCGGATCTTTCATAACTGCAGGAAAACTCACGTTTCAACATTTTCTACAGTCAGCGTAACACGATACGCGAAGGCTGCCTCGAAACATGCACAATCGCTTAGAATTTGAATAATCGAATTATAAATAATGATATTTCTTTCAATATTAAAAATTATTATCATAGAAACATGTGCTATAGTTTAACCTCTCATTAAATATTTGTGGAAATTATTAGATGATAAAAATAGAGGAATCTTTCAACAGGCAACTATCACGGCTACTACTCAAGGCAACAAACACAGTAGGACCCCAGAAACGCCTCCTACGTGAACGTGACCGTGTTGTGCCAGATTTTTTTGTGAGACCGGCGAGAGGTCTATTTCTTTGAGAGTTGAGGGACAGTTTATTACAGAATGGATAAAACAGTCAGTCTGCCAAACCAACCCAACAAAACCACCACGGGTAAGACAAAAGGCTTTCAATGTTAAATTCAGAAATTATATTGAACAACCTTATTGTCTCTCTGTAAACGCAACATAACTTGCATGAGTGATAATTAGAGTGAAAACAGCATTTTCAGAATTTCAAACTGTTCGATTTCATTCACACAAGCATTACATTTGGCTTTTGCAAACATTTGGTGTCAGTGTGGAACTTGGAAAAAATAGAAAAATATGATTAATTAAATACGATCATAAAGAATATGCTCTCTTTTTTAATATACGGAGATCCAAAATGGATTTTAAAGAAGTAGTAGTTTCACCCCGAGTATCTGCTCTGCCCCTCATGATGTTTTTACTCTTGAGAGCTTATCTAACCGGTTGCATAATTGCCTTACACAATTCACCATAGTAGTTTCCTAATGAATTACTGTGGTATCTCAGATCTCAGTGCAGGCAGCTTTTGAAGTCTTTCCAGCATTTGTAATTTCTTTTTTATGGAAGTGAAATTACATAGAAATTTAATATAGTTATTGTAGTAACTATTCCATTTTTGCTGAACTATGAAATGGTTACCATAGTACAGTTTTATACGATTATTCTTTGGATTTTATGCATCATTTTTACTATAAATACAAAAACATGTCTTTACTATGCAACAGGATTTTACATGTGGACATTAATATTAACTTACAGTAAGTTTGGTGGAGGCCAGCAGTAACCCAAGTGGAATGACGCTGGTGAGTCCCTACCAGACTAACCGGGTTGGGGATCCCATGAATCTAGTTGCTCTGGCACAACAAGTACAGAAGGTAAGTGATGCTTTAGATCACACTTGTGATATACAATTGTATCATCTTTTAATGATGGATTTTTTCTGTGGGAATTTTAGGGAGATGAATTTATCAGAGCCAATGCTTGCAACAAACTGACAGTAATTGCGGACCAGATTAGATACCTTCAGGAGCAAGCAAGAAAGGTGAGATTGCACTGTCAAATCAAATGACCATTTCTATTATACAGCAGTCTGATAAATGTCACTGGAGTTGTATTGGGAGGAGCACTTCAATATGTGTCTTAAAGGTAGGGTTTGCAATTTCGGAGAGGCTTGCAATCGCAAGTTAGTTTTGAAAGCATAGGATCCCACCCTCCCTTCAGAGTTCTCTCTCTCTCCAAAGTCACGCCTTCTCCACATGAAAGCAAACACAGCCAGAGCAGATTCTGCAAAGTGTCTTTAGAGTTAAATTATCTCTTGTATCAAAGCACATAACATTACAATGATAATGAATGTAAACAACTTACAGAGCGCTTACTTGTACCATGTGACTGCAGAGAAACGTATATTCCCAACAGCTCCGGGTAAAACGTCACAGGTTGGCATCTTGTAATTATGGTTGCAACGTGGCGTGAACGTAGCATAGATTCGTTGTAGGGATGCACGATATATCGGCCAGCATATCGGTATCGGCCGATATATGTTCATTTTTAATGTTATCGTTATCGGCCTGGTAAAAAAATGTGGCCGATATATTAAAGCCGATAAATAATGTATTATTCCCTTCAGCTAAGACACTTGTTGAGCACTGTTTATGTTTTTAAATTTCTTGAAATATGATTGAAATCTCTTCAAAAAATGAAAATACGGTTCGGTACAACATGTGCAGCAAATCTATCATATCGGCTATACGACACTATAATGAGAACATCTTTATAATTGTGTGCTTGGTACATGGATTTAATTGTGACACTTTTGTTGTTGTAATCAGGCTCTCAAAATTAGATACAAATTTGGATTTAAGTTTATCGGCCGATATATCGGTTATCGGCTTTCAAATATAAAGAATTATCGGTTATCGGTAACAGCTAAAATTTTCATATCAGTGCATCCCTAGTTCGTTGTTTTGGTTTAGGAGGAACTTGGATTAATGTTTTTTGGTCCTATACCTTCCACAGAAGATTTATGAACATGTTTTAAAATTTAGACCACTTCTATTATTTATTGCTATCAGGATGTGAAGAGTTTCAACCAGTATAACAAAGTGCTTATGAAAACATGCCTACCCTACCTATAAATATATGTGCCAATAAAATAATCTGAAATGTGACAAATACATAATGGTTAAATCACTTCCTGTTTATACTTCAGGTTTTGGAAGATGCCAAGAAAGACGCTGAGCTTCACCACGCCGCCTGCAATGTCGTGAAGAAGCCAGGAAACATGTATTATCTTTACATGCGAGAATCCGGACAGAGATACTTCTCGATTCTGTCTCCTCGGGTGAGTCGATTGCCACATTATGAGTCTCTTGGTCATATCAGTTGTTATGTTATGAGTGAGAAGTGAGATCAATCTGAATATGTTGGTGTCGAGTAGTAATGATAGTGAAACAACATTTTTAGGATGCATTACTGAAATTGCACCATAACCTCGGAAATAAGGATTTGTGCAGTGGTTAGTAATGAAAGATTTAAAAAAGTCACTTACACAATTGTTTTCTTAAAGGGGTAGTTCACTTTGAAATTAATTTTTGATATGTTATAGCTTACCTCAAGGGCATCCAAGATGTAGGTGTCTTTGTTTCCACAGTATTTTGAATTTTGATATTTTTAGGTCAAACCGTTCTTGTCTGTCAGTCATATAATGCAGGTCTATGGTAATGTAATATTATGTCAAACTCTTACAGGAATGGGGTCCCAATTGCCCTCACAAGTTCCTTGGCGGATACAAACTCCAACACGACATGTCTTGGACACCACAAGAGGAGGTTGAAAAGCGGGACGCTGAAATGAGCATCATGGACAAACTGTTGAACAGGCAAATCGCCCTACCAGCCTGCACAGAGCCCAATTTTGAGGGTATATCAGAGTGAAAGAGTAAAGCTCACTCATGGACTGTCTTATCTGGAGGCCAACTGGTCTTAAAAGATGCTTATTGGTTATTAATATACAGGATAAATTGAATGAAAATTCAGTTTTGCAGACTTGACTACTGTTACTACTGCTGAACTTGTCATTCAATCATGCATTTAATGTCTTTATGCTCCGATTTTTCCATTTTAAATGCTGCTCTCTCAAATGTATCTTAATTTAAGAACTTCATCTTTTTGACATTTGGTTTTCATTAAATGGTTCAGTTACATTGCCTTACATATACTTTATTAAACACATTACTCAAAGATTTTAAATACAAAAAAACAGTGTTATATCAATACAAGGAAGCAATAAAATAAATTGAATTGGTAAAAATCAATGAATTGACCGAATGAACCAAGCACCCATTTAGCCATCTGTTCCTGTTGTGCTACAATGATCAGTAATGTTTTGGAGGTAAGAGTTCACAAAGGGTAACAGCTCCCAGTTGTCCGTTGCGATGCTGACCTGAACTGCGTCCTCAGCCTGAGTAATCTTCAAAAGGACGTGGCACATTGGTGGAAGAAAGAACAAGACTTTCCACAATCCTTTGCTTTTCTCGTCAGTAATCAGGTAACCCTGAAAATGTGTCTTGATCAGATCAGCTAGACTTTCATCTCCAGTTTTGAAACAGAACAGACTAATGGCAGATTTGTCAGGACTCCCAGAGGCTGCGGCCTCCCAGATGCGGTCGAACACTTCCTCTTTACATGCACGTGATGTACTTAGCGGTAAAGGCAGAGGAAGGAATATCTCAGGGAATGAAATGCTCACGTCAGGCAGTCGGCTGTGCCAAGTGCGTCCATCTTGGGTGGTAAATATTGCACTGACGCATAAAGAAGTGGGGTAGGGTTGAAATGGTCTGAGCTTTACGTTGACCTCGGGTGGCTTTCGGTCTCTGAACACACATGGTACATGTATATCGCTTACCTTTGCATAGTTTAAATCTTTCCGCTCGAAATGCAGACAAATCGTAAAGACTCTACTGAATAAAGTATCAGCCTCATTTGCATGAGTCAGATTGTACCTCAAAGTGATCTCCGACCCAAAACCCGGCACCTGGAACTGTTCTTGATAAACCTCCAACCATTTCTTAGTCTCTTCTGTTGCTTCCAACGATTCTGGACTTTCCGAAGAGACTTGCAAGGATTTCTCCTGCACCTTGACGAGTCGCAAAACATGCCGCTCGGTTTTGCGCACAGTCAGGTTACTGGCGATCCCCTCGCTCTCAGCCATTGTGGCAGAATGCGACCGCTCTTTGGCACGTCCTCCATCAGGACCCTTGGCGAGAACCCCCGTCATCTTTTCCCACGAAAGATTGGTTAGCAATGAGTAGTAGAATCGAGCGTGGTCCTTAATGTCCGTGTCGTCATAATGAACCGATATGTATTGCAAAAGATCAGCCAACTCGATAAACACTTGATCGATGGAAGGGTGCTCCAAAAGATTGCGGCAAACCGCAAGAACTGCGTTTCCAACCTGCCATTTGCCTCTTTCACACAAGTTGGAGTTGATGAGAACATTGAGAAGAAGGTAAATGGTGTTCCTCTGGGTGATCCGACCCTCTTTAGCCACTCTTTTCAAGACTTTCAAGTGCCAGCTCAAATTATGAATCGTCAACTGCAATGGTGGCATGTCCATAATGCATTTCTGAAGCCCTCTCAACAACTTAACAGACCAGACGTGGTCGTCGAGACACTCCTGGGTGCGGTCCACGAGGTCGATCAAATTTGGAGCTAGTCGGCATTGTCGGGAATACATGCCGCATAATTTGTCGATCAGCTTCTCAGAGAGTTCTTCCATGCCGCTGAAGTGCATGAGAAAAATATACACCGCCCTGAAAGAGGTCACCACCACTTCTCTGCTACCATCTCCGTCTACGATTCTCAAAAGGGCCATTATGTGATCAAACAGGTAGTCGATCCCTTTCTGTTCTTCGCCCTCATCTGCTTCTAGGTACACCAGACAAAGAAGGTTTAGCCTGCAGAGCATCGTAGCACTATCGTTGAAAACTGTTGGAAGAAGAGATGCTGCCAGACGTGGCGTAACCAGCACCGGTAAACTCTCTTCTCCGCTACAGGATATGGGCCGGTTCTCGGGGAAGTGCAGAATGCAGTCCATGTAGAAGAGCTTCTCAGGAATTCTTAGGAGCGGATGCTGGGCCGTGCTCACGAGACGCTTGAGGAGGAAGTTCTCATCCTCAGCTGTGAAAAGGCTGTCTGTGAACGTTTCTTTCATGAAGAGTGTGGCATGCATGAGCTCGACTTCTGCAGTTCCGAAGAGTCTCAGAAGTTGCGATTTAAATAACGTTGGAGAAAGTCCCGGCACCATGGCGACAACTTCTACAAGCTCCCTGAGCAGGGCAGACTGGGAAGTGGGTGTTAGCAGGTAAGACTCCTCCAAGAGTGAAGACAATATAGATTTGAGTTCCTTACAATCCAGTCCAGGTGGCAATCGTGGGACTTGCACCATCATGTTTATCGGCAAGAAGGTCGAGCCTAACTGGTTACTTTTCCATGCAAACCCTTCATTTCCTCCTAGGATGCTCTTAAACACTAGGTCAGTAACATCTTTTTGGTTCGTCAAGATCCGTATGGCGTTCTTCAGGCCTAGTGTATACAGCATACAGTAGGACTGATGCAGAACTGTAGTTTCTTGCTGTTTTAGAAGATACAGGGCCTCTAACTTTTGAGAAAGAAGACCGGGGCTACAGGTTTCCATTTCTCGGAGGCAGTCGCAGGCGGTGGCCCTTAAAGGCTGCTGGGAAAGCCCACATCTGTAGTCATTGGTGTCCTGAATTGTCTGAAATAGAAGGTCCAGCCAGTCTTCAGCCATCTTTGTGTGGGTGGCCAAGCAGGACGTGCATATTATCACGTTGGTGATGGCCAGCATGACATTGCACTTGAGGCTGATGGATTTCTGTGGCGTGTGAGAGAAGACTGACAGAAGTTCAAGGGCCGTTTCTTCTCCCAGTGAAGTAGAATGGCAGAGAATGGTTGGATGCTCCAGTAGCACAGACACAATGAGTATCTTATAATAAGGAAGAGAAATAACAATATTAAACAAACGTGAGTTAGTTACAGGGAAAATGCACACAGAATGAAGAAAATGTGATGGTAGCATGTTTGTTCAATTTCATACTGAATAGTGAGTTGCGCCTCTGGCTAATAAACAGAGCTAAATCTGGCTAATTTAACACATAAAATGTTGAACATTCTATTATGAACTAATATTTATTATACATTTTATATATTGTCATTTTATTATGAAACATATAACGTTAACTAAACATTATAAAAGGACAACAATATAATATACTATATTTGTTATTTATTAAAAGGTTTAATTTAAGGTTTCAACCTTGAGTTGATCATTGGCCTTATCATTCCGCAGTTCGTCTAGAAGTTCAGCCAAGAAACTCTCAGATGTGGTGGTGGCCAGAAACTGAGACGGACTCAGTAGAAAGGCAGGTATTCTCTGATCCCAGAGATCCGCAACAGTCATTCTGGAGATAAACTGTGACTTAAGATCAGAACAGAAGAATTTATGTTCATGGCAATGACGCTACATTGATTAAATAATGTACACAAACAGTAAAATAACAAGTGCATTCTTTCAGTTTAACGACTTACCTATCAGATAACACATTAAAAACATAAAAAACAAGCAAATTACTGTTTAGTCCATCTATTGACGTCTCTGAAAATCATGTGTTCCCTGGCTGTCATATGATAAACCAGGTAGTGACAGAAATCTATATACTTCAAAATAAAAGTCGCCAATATTTCAACATTCCCTAATAACTATGTCAGTTTTTTGTTATCTAATTGTATAGTAATTATAAATATATAAAAAAGTTTTTTATTAGAATTTTCTCTTAATTTTACATATATTGTTTACATTACTGAGATTAAACAGTTGACTTTTATTTTGACACGGCAATGTGATCTTGTTTTTTGTTTGACTGCCATCGTGTGGTGTTTTAAGTATTTAGAGAAGTAGGTCAAAAAGCAACCCGAATTTGAAAAAAGTCAGTAGATAAAATCATACCCTTCACAATTGATAATAATGTCATGGTTAGTAAAATAAGGTGATGTTCATCTTATATTGAAAATGAAGAGTTTATTGTTGCCATTACAGTCAATGCAAAACAATTTAAGGAAGAAATGTAAAATATATATGGTAGCAGAATACAAAATGTATATGAAAAGAAATGTAGACCATTAGTGATTAATACTTAAATATGTAAATATATTATCTTTTTAAGACATCATTTTACATGTGCCTATCAATGTTGTATTCATATTCTCATCATATCTATAATAACAATAATATTTGATATACATGATTATCAATGTATTATAATTTTATTTTTTGTTGAACAAATTAATTTGAACTTGTAAATGACACATGAATGTGTTTCTACCTCCTTTTTGATGAAATATTCATCTTAATCCAAATAAAAACGATATGCATAAATGGTATACTGTACATATATAAAAAAGAAGTGACAAAAAATATAATATCAAAAATGTCTTAGTTCATAGACTGTAAAAAAGGTTCTAATGAAGTGCGATAGAGTGACGCAGCGCGCGACTCGCCCCTGCTCTTCAGTTCTGGAAACCCCAAGCGCGCGGACCTGCCAACGCCCGGCGCAGAGAAACAAACAGAAAGGATACGGTGAGTGCCAATGACGCTCAAAATATTAACCATATTTCTCTTCCTTTGACCAATATTAGCGTTTGAGCCAGTGGAATATCGAGTTATGAATATGTACGGTATTAATATATGTATTTGGAAGGAGTATTTAACGAATTAAACGTTTTTAATGGCACCGGAGGACAGTTAGCACAGACGGCTAAACGAGGTTGAGGAGAACCGGTCAGATTTGGCCATAGGCAGTTTTAATATCTTTGTCGTGATATTGTATAACATATTTAGTGTCTGTTTTAATGTAATAATTGATTTATGATATGACAGTATTTAATATAAAGACCTTTCTGGCTTTCAATCTGTCATCCGTTGCAGTCGCCTGTTGACGACGGATAGATGTCATAATTATTTAATATTTTCACATATTAGCATGTTATTGCTAATGTATCTTAAATACAGATGGATTTTTTATTCTGGTTGATATAAAAGAATTGTGCAGTCCATGTTTGCTCAGTTGAAATGTTGTGTTTTGATGGCCTTCAGTTGTAACGTTACAGCATCATTGGAAATGGAAGTAACGTTATGCTGCATTTATCTATTTTTAATTATCCTGCATTGAATCTGAGTTTGTTTAACATGGATGATATTGTCCGAATTGTGTTCTTGATCTCAGCAACATTTTGCAAACTTCACTGCATTTCAAACTCGATAGATATTAATAGTTTGAGTGATTTGTGGTTCTATTGGTAGCTGACCATCGTTTCCTGCTGCCAAACACATTTTGTGTCAGGGATGTCTCTTTAACACATATTATTTCTATAGTTTCATGTGTTTTTAGCACTGTTATTGACTTGTCAGCAGGTTTTGGGTCTTGAAAATTAAAAAAAGAAGCACTCACTCAGCATTAATGGTGAATATTTGCATCCTTTTACTGCTGTTTTTGGTTTATTTCCCCTTCTTGCACACTGAAGGATGTAAAGTACCAAAGCATCACTCATTCTCAAATTAATTTAAGTTATGGGGGAGGACACAGCATACATTTTACTTTATCAATGTGTATTTTGCAACAAGTTCTCTTTCGCTTCTTGTTACTGAGGAAATGCTTTTCCTGCCACAAATGGATTGTTAAACTATCACAGGAAGAAGGCAGAACTTGAACGAGAAGAATGGGCAAATCTAGCATCTAGAACTGATCTAGCCTTGTGCTTTAAAGTAGAAATAGATGATAATTCAAATCACGTTTAACTGATATTCTCACGGTATTGGTTTAAATGCAAAATTAAACTGCAATTTAAGAAATGTGTGTCAAAATCGTCTCTTGTGTCGAATTTAGGGCTGTTGAACACGTCAATAACAGTTTAAAAAATAGCTGCGTTAACGCAGACTCCATTTGACCATATTGTAATTCAAGCCTGGGTTGCAAGGTCCGTGGTTTTTCTCTACACCAAACATCCAATAATCAATATTTGCGAAGTCCAATAATCGCAAAGCTTTGTGCCTTGCTTCTGATATGAAATCTATCAATTCTATCCATTTGATCACAAAATTCAAACCATAGGCCTAAATGCTGTTTTGGTGCTTAAATGTGATGCTGTAGTTCCTCAGTTCTAGTGGCAGTGCAGTCAATCTTTTCTTCCACATTAATAAAAGTTATAACACAAAAAAACATGCATGAACATCAAATGTTATGTATATCAGTGTTTCAAAAGTGTGAAAGATGTCACTTAACCTGGCATTTACCTCTGGAATGGTATTCAATGAATGTTCACAGTTCCTTAGTTAGCCATGTAAAAAAAAACACTTGACTATCTTATTTATCATGTATGTATGTTTGAATTAATTTGTCATAAAGACAAGTGTTTATGAAACTACCTTATGTACAACTTAGTTGTATACAATTCAGTTTTTGTTTAATTAGTATACCTGTCCTGAAAATATAGTAGTTTATGTTCTGTTGTTAATTGTACCTCAAATATCATAGTAATGTACCAATGAGAGGGGTTCCCGGTTGGGAGAGATTTCTTTTCTTTTTTTTTTCCCGTTAGAAAATCAAACTATTGATAATCGGCAGAAATCATTCCAAATAATCGGCTATCAGTATCAGCTGAGAAATTTAGTATCAGTGTGCCTCTACTAATAAATAAGTATAGTTTATTTCTATTGCAAATCTCTCTTATGATGTTGTCAGAGGTTGAAATTCAAAAACAATTCAAATTTGCTTCTGTATATCATTTATAAGGCTGTTTATTAGACTTGTCAAAAAAGTGTAGTAACATTGTTCATAAAAAATGCAATATTGGTCATTCACTTCTCTATACCCCCAGCATATTTAATAATTGCTTGTGTGTATAGTCAAGTCTTATAATTAGTGGTATGTAGTCAAATATTTTCCATTTAAAAAAAATAAGGGTGGATTTAAGAAAAAAATAATAAATAGAGGTGAGATTGATTCAAATCATAGGCTTGTCCAAATGTGCCCTGGTTTAAGTGGGGATTTACAGTCTGGGTATGCACATGGGTCTGGATTATATTGCTTTATGAAGTCTATCGCTTGAAGTGAGCTGAAGTTTGGCCTTGATACAGTTCAAAACTTTCCACTCGCATTTGTCCGCATGGAAATTTTCCCTCGATATGATTGCTCAGGATGTCATTGGTTGTTTAATATATCATAGTCATACAGATTTGAGCATGTGAGTTTTGTTGTTTAATTCAGGGGAGACTTTCTGAGAGTGTTTGTAACTGCGATGTAGTTTATAAGAATAAGACAATAATTTGTGTTGGACAGGTGACAGGAGGACCCAATAGATCCCTGCACTTTGATTGTGTGTTTTCCACTGACAGTAGAATGAGGTCAGGCCTTGCTTCCTCTGGTTTGGGTGCGCGAGGGGAAGGAAACAGCCGGGATGGGCTTCCATCTCCTCGTCCTGACCATCTGTGAGCTTGAAGGCTCACCCGCTTACTGCTTCACACAGCTCTGCAGAGGCTTAGCTTCTGCTCAGGCACGGCACACACAGTGGGAAGTGCTTCTCTCGGTCTCACGCTTCAGTCACCCGTACACCTCCGCACACCAAAGGAAAGGGATATTGCTGTACTATTTTATTTTGCCCCGTGTCTCTCCTCTCCACAGGCTTGGGGTCTGTGTTGTGTGAATAGTGGTTTAGCATGCTGACCCGCTGTTAGCGATGTGCTTAAACCAATGACGTTATGCTCGAGTTTAAAGCCGCAGTGACCCACAATCAGAACAGGGGAGGGGCCGACTGGCCTGTCAGAGAGGGGGAAATTTGAATGTTTTAAATGTAAAAGATATCAGAGACTAAATTTACAGAGAAAAGAACTTTGCTTGTGAGCTGTATGCATAAACTCAGTGCTTAAACTCAGCATATGCTGTATGCATGAACAGTGTGTTTGTCTAAATACAGTTGAGCAAATTGAAGTTGGATTTAGTTTGTCTTTAGTACGCAAATCCGATATAATTTCATTCAGATTGTAAGGGGTGGTTTAAACTTAAGTTTTCCGAATCCAATCTCTATAGAAAACTAAATATAAAGTCTGCATTTTGAAAATAAGAAATGATTGGAAACTGTATTCCTGCAGTGTGCACGTGTCAAACGATCAAATCCAGTTTGAAGCTTGTGACATTATGCACATCAACCTGATCACTTACTTTATTTAGCGTTCATTTAAATCTATTTATCAGAATAAGTTAATTACAAATCTAAACAAAAGGTGTCTGTATTGATATAGCTACTGTTAACCTTTTAAGGGTGTTCCATTTTCAGTCTGGTTCTGGTAGTATGCACTAGTCTTAGTTTTGCACAAACCATTTGAGTTGATGCATATAATGTGTAACGTCACCAGTAACATGTCAGACTAATTAAAGGAAATGTTTTGCTGTGCAAATGTAACTGTCTGTGAAGCATTGAAGAGTGTGAAATTGATTTGAACTATGTATTCCGTCTTCTGCATCAGAAAGCGGGGACAGATTAATAATTTCTCACATTTTGAGTTGATCACACAGCCAAGACTCTCACAGTTTCTAATGTGGGTGTTTTATACTTGCAGACCAACAACTTCTTTGAAGGACATATTTAATGAGATTATGCCTGAAAAGGTTCTGGATTTTTTATCATATGTTAATTTAAAAAAAATATTGTATAATATGACTTCTTGTTTATATTTGTTTTGTTTTTGTTGTATTTATATGATGTTTGTATTTTTGTAAATTAATTTTTGCCATGAAAATAGCTCTGACTGCTGACATGGCATGAAATAAAATAAATCTGAATCTGCAGACCAACAACACCTTTGGTATCTAAAGGCATGAGAGATCCTCTCTTCAAGTCTGTTTTGGTGTTTTGGTAAATACAGACAAATTTAGATGATAAGATTATAAAAAAAAGGTTTCTGCACCTGCCACCAATGCAAAATATGTTTTATCAAAATATAATTTATTATAAAAACTGTGTCATTTATGAATCTTTTAACAGTAAGTGAGTCTGATGTTGATGTAGTAGCCATTCATTATGGATTGATTACTCATTTAAAGTACTGTCTCATTTGGCACTGCTTCCAGTGTATGTTTGTCTTGTGCTGCAGGAAACACATTTAAATCATACGGTCAGTTCAGATACAGAATAGGAGGCTTTACATTAACTTGACTCTGGCCTCTAAAACCTATAAATAGCTTATTGTCATCAATAATTTGTGGCGTAGGTTAATGCTTCGGAAGTTTGAACCAGGCTTGCAACACAACCTCAACACAACCTCTTTCTGTTTTCCCTTTAAATAAATGTGGTAAAATCCAAGAAAGATTAGATAATTTTTAATTTTATTTTTAAGTCTTGGCTTGTCATTTTTCTTGCAAACTTATATTAGATTTTTTTTTTGTTCTTTTAGCTACATTAAGCAATTCATTTTATTAAAATTAAAGGTACATTTTGTGATGTTTACTGTTGCCTGCACATTACTCTGCACACATGATATTAGAGGACCTGGAGGTGTTGTGTAATGCACGTGTGCTATAGTGTCTCCATTTACACCTTTTGAACTCGAGTGACACCATTGGAGAGCAACTCTGACTGAATGTAGTTCAACATGTGTCTCATGTGAACACTTTTGTCTTTCATTGCAGATCTTGAATGAGAACAGTGGACTTGTAAAAGCACAGCTATGCAGACGATCAAGTGCGTCGTTGTTGGTGATGGTGCAGTGGGTAAAACCTGTCTATTAATCTCCTATACAACTAATAAATTCCCCTCCGAATATGTACCAACGGTGAGTCACATTTTCATTTCACATTCACTTATATAAAATCATATATCCTGCTGCATTTCTAATTATTTTAGTGTTTTTGAAAACTAAAAAAAAACTTCCTGAAAGTACAATGGACATTTTCTTTGCTTGCTTACAGGTCTTTGATAACTATGCAGTTACGGTTATGATTGGTGGTGAGCCGTACACCCTTGGGCTGTTTGATACCGCAGGTACGGTACAACATATATTCCTCAACATCTTAAACTTTCACATATAGCCTATAGGGCTGGGTATTGAGACAAATTTCACAATTCGATTTCGATTCACAAGCTTGCAATTCGATTCGATTTCGATTACGATTCGATTCAATATCGATTATTTTTGATATCAGTTACAATAAATGGCAATTTTTCTCAAGGGAATCAAATCTCTTAAATGCTGTAAATTATGGTCTATATATATAGTCTAGTTGTAGCCTACTAGGCTTCATTAACCTAATATGAAGGTAATAATGAACTGTTTTGTAGCTATACAAACACTTAAATTACACTTTTATTTATTTTTATAATAAGAAGATTATATGAAATATAAACATTCAAATGGTGGCTGTCATAAAAACTTGCCAGATTTATTCAAATATGCATTAAATATTGAAGAACACTAACGAGTGTGGACTAACGAGTTGATGTGGGTTTTCTGAGGTAAATATGACGATACATGACATTGATTACAAGCTGTAATTGACGTCTTTCCACGGTTGAAACGCAGATTGAGCGAATCAATGTGACATGATACGGATTTTGATAAGTTGTACTCGATCTTTTAACACACTTTCAGATGCTCATTCATGTTTATTTCGCGCTGTGACCGGTATTATTAAACCGGAAGAGAGATCAGCGCTGCTGCTTCTCTGGAACTGCGCCAGAGCGATCTCACGCCACAGCGCCAAAACGGCAAAACGCTATTTATGTTTTTGAATTTCTAAAGAATATGGACGTAATTTGAAAATTGAGACTTTGTTTCATATCAATAGTAACAAAGCAGGACAAAGATTAGTGCGATTTGTTGGATGTGCGCAGCCGCGATACAATGTCTCATTCATTCAAATGAAACAGGATGACTAATCGATTCTTGAGATTTAAGAATCGATATCGGTTTGTAAAAATGAGAATCGATTAATATCAAGAAATCGATATTTATTACCCAGCCCTAATAGCCTAGTGATTAACGTTCATTATCATGAAGGGTTATTGAATCAGAAGTAAATTATCTGGCTTTTACAATGTCTGTATGCAAGGGTGGAGCTCACACACTGATGGGAAAAAAAAAAACATTAATGATCGTCATTGTTGTGAAAATTAAACCTCGGGAGCTTTGGAGAATGCCACACATTCCTGTGGAGGGTGGTTGAGCTTGGAACTGTTATTTTGGAGGATTGTGGGACCAGAGTCTTTCGCTGTGCATGTGTTCGAGTGCAACATTGACCACATGACTGAATGACTTAGAACTGTATTCTTAGTTTTAATGTATCCTGTTATTTCCATGTCTCTGCAGGTCAGGAAGATTACGATAGATTACGACCCCTGAGCTACCCTCAGACAGATGTCTTCTTAGTCTGTTTCTCAGTTGTTTCACCTTCTTCGTTTGAAAACGTCAAAGAAAAGGTGAGCTTGAATCATTCAAACCAGCCAGAAGCAGACATTTTGTTAGTTGCATATTGTCGATTGGTAATCATTCTGAGCTGTTTCTAAGCTAAGTTGATCTTGGAGATCATTGGTTCCAATGGTTCTTGATCAACTTTTGAGAAATGCAGCCTGGTCAATTACTAGTTGTAGATCTATTACATGAGTTAATTGGAAAAAGTAGCTTGATCCTTTATGCTTTGTCCTTTAGTGGGTACCTGAGATCACCCACCACTGTCCAAAGACCCCCTTCCTGCTGGTGGGGACACAGATTGATCTGAGAGATGACCCTTCTACCATTGAGAAGCTTGCCAAGAACAAACAGAAACCCATCACTCCGGAGACGGCAGAGAAGCTGGCCCGCGATCTGAAGGCTGTCAAATATGTGGAGTGCTCCGCTCTGACACAGGTAAGGGGGTACACCTCATATATGTTCATGAACGTATATCATCTACATTACAAACAGAAACTGCCTTTTTAGTTGGTGATCTAATATACTAAAATATCCTCAGTGTGATTTCAGCGTCTAAAGAATGCTATCTTGTGTTATGTACATTAACAAGAAAGTGGAAGCTTCATGGCAGAGGCTCAGAGACATTGGTGATTTTTTTTTGTTTATTTATTTTTTTTAATAAGGTTTAAGGATTGACCTTTGGTTCGGTTGGTGGTCAGAGGCCTATTTGTCATTGACCAGCTATTCTTTGCCTGGTGATGCGTGCATATTAAAATATAATGCAATATGTGACAGATGATTCTTATCTAATGCGAATATTCATACTATAGGCAACATAAAACCGCACATAGAAAGTCTAAAGATGTTATTGATGAGTATTATTTTGCATTCATGTGGCCTAAAATTAGTGTTAAGTGGTGAAAGGTAAGTTTGTTTTTTCTCTTTTAGAGTAACATGCGTTGAGCATTGCACAATAAGGCCAAGAATATATATTAAAGTAATTATTATAATTTGGTGTTGTCTAACTTTTTGATTTTTGGTTGCTGAGTTAATAAGTGTCTGCTTGCAGTCTGTTTAAAGAAGAAAAGTGACGAAAGCAATGTTTAATACATCTTGCAATTGGCAGTCTAAATCTGATTTTCGTTTTTAATCAACCAATGTATCCATTTCCTTAATCGTTAGTGTCGTCTGTAGGCCTACACGGCATCTGCTCCTGTAGAATGACTGTTTTAGTGCAACGTACTCTTCTGCAAGCAGCCTCTCTTCCTTGCTAGCTGCTGTTCTCTTTTGAAATGTGCTAGTTCCTCTTGTATCTCACCTCTTCTTCTCTCTCTTTCTCCTGTTTTCTGTAACTGCTAACATTGGTGCTCTATTCTGTTTCCCTTCCCTTCTGTGTTCATAGCGAGGTCTGAAGAATGTATTTGATGAAGCTATCCTAGCTGCCCTCGAACCTCCTGAAACGCAGCGAAAACGGAAGTGCTGTATATTTTAAACCTCTCTTTCTCTTTCTCTTTCTAACAACCCACTCTTCCCCAGATGTTTGCTGCTTCCTTTAGTTACCTCTTGCTCCACAGAAAAGACAAGTATCCCAATCTCTTAAGTGACGTCATAAATATGTATCTTCTTTTAACAATACTAAAGGATTTGCTTTTGCTATTTTCCTTTTTCTAACTTTTGTTGTCTTTGGAGATTGCTAAAGTTAGACCCAGTTCTTGGGAGTGACATTTTGTCTCCTTTCTACAGATTATTATTATTATTTGCACTTTGATTTTCAAATAAAAATGTGGAAGTTTACAATGAAGGGTTGCATTTGTAGTTTTTGCTTCAAATACTGATATGTTGCTTTAGACATTGGATCATTAAAGTTCATGGTTTTTATTTTTTAAGTTATTTATGAGCGGCGAAAGGTAAAATAATTCAGTTTATTTGCATTTCTAAGAATCATTCCTTATGTCAGTGTATTTATTTTGTACTGCAACAATTGTATCATATAAAGTTAATTCTAATCTTTACGTATGGCTACAGTTTGCAGTTTGGTGCCATTCTTATCCATACAACGTCTTGAGAGTTTAAATGGCTTAATATAATCCTGTGAAATATGTGCCATTAATAAAGGACAGCTGCAATTGCCATTACTCAATGCGTCTCTCTCGTTAATTATGAATTAATGCTGTTTTAACGGTAAATGTGTTTGTTTTAAAGCTAGAGTTGGGCAGGGTCAGTTGATGCCAATGTATTTGTGACTGGCTAATAACTTAAGGATGCATATAGCATACTTTGAACACTATGAACACTTTTTTTGCACAAAGTGCAATTCCACCATTTGTTTTCTGATAAATCCTTCTCACTATAACTCACACAGTGCGGTCTTATCACAGCCATCACTTGAGACATGATGCTAACAGCGCTGGACTGGACAATAACTTCTCAGACTACTCTTGTTTGGACGATTTCCTCGAACAATGCCATACTTATTGTTTCCAAGCACCCAGCACTTCCTCCTTGCCCCTAATCTGGGCATGTGCACAGAAAAGCGCATTGTACGCAGTCTCCCCTGCTTTAGCTGTCACCTGACTTGTCAACAAACAAAAGTGATTTGAAATTTCACGAAAGTGTTGTTCTTGCTCATTACACCCAGATATGGCCAGACTTCTAACAGGTTGCATTCTTTGGCAGATCATTTGTCTGTTTGTTATTTCACCCAGAGGCTTGAGTTTCTGTTTGAGCAGCCCTTCACCTCACCAACCCTTCAGTCTCTGAGCCCGTGTTTGCTTGCACTTCCACTTTCTTGTTTGACACCTTGTGTCTGAATGACTGCTCCGCATGGTTGATTTTCAGTTCACTGGTTCTGATCTAAGTAATTGCAGCTGATATATAGAGATTTGTAAAGTTTATGGAGTTTTGGCCAACCAAATGCATCTTTTTTTTACTCATGCTCAATTTAAAATAATTTTACCTGTTTTTTAAAATCAATTTAGCAGGTTTTCTTCCAAAATAAATCCTGAAAATGCACAAATTCTGTGTGGACCTAGTTATGGATAAATTGATTTCTTTTCTGGCTTATTCCCATTTGCTTTGTTCCTCTATAAACGTTACTTTGTGGCACTTTCATGCATTCCCTTCACGTTTACGTTTACCCATTATTTCAACGATGCTATTTTATGTTCCATTTTAAGATGTCCAAAGTCATCCAATCATGCGCGTGTGAAAGAAATTTCCCACCCACCCATCGATTTACTTTCTTCTTTTCTGTCCGTGTTGACCCATTTTGAGTGTCCATCTCTCCCTTGCTTTGTGTTCACAGAAAGGCCTAAAGAACGTATTTGATGAGGCGATTTTGGCAGCCCTGGAGCCTCCAGAGCCCAAGAAGAAGCGTAAATGTGTTCTGCTATGAGCGCCCCGTTTCCCATCTCCCCCTCCCTTCTTTGCTCTGCTAAGGCTGGTCCACAGCTTTACACTTTAAAAAGCAATGTGTAAAAGAAGTGAGATTCAATATTTGCTCTGCAATAAAAATATAGAGTACCCACCATACACGTATACATATACACATGACAAACACACAACCCACATGCACATTAATATAAAAACCTAGAGGGCCTTTTCTAGTTTTGATTCCAGGAGTCTGTCTTCTGTACTTCATGGTGAGATTTAGAGATGCTGCCTTGGTTTGCCAGCTGAATTTTGACATCTAAGTGGGTTAATGTAACACATACGGTAATAATGCTTTGCATTCACTAGATTCAGGTTGTATCAATTTCCATTGTGCTGTGCAAGTGTTTTGTGCGGCTTTCAAAATGGCGACGGAATCACTCTGACCTGGTCTGAAACGTCACTAGCCCAAGAAATAAAACTAAAATTATTTTACTCCGAGACGCGTTCGCAATTCTGCCGTAATCCCTTGAACAACATCACCTGAAGTGCTTAGAAATAGCTCCTTATTCTTTTGCCAATACTCCCATTTAATAGGCATTCGACACAAAAGCCCTGTGAATGGTTCGGTTATTTTGCGTGGATGACTCCATATTTAAAGGAAATTGGTCTATCTCAAGCAGGGATCTTTCTAACAGTGTTAGCAGAACATGTGGCGTGTTCTAATGCGTTGCTAGGGACCATGAAAGCGTTTTTTTTTTTTGTTTTTTCAGAACTTGTGATGCATGTTTGTAAGCCTCCAGGTTCCTTTGGATAGGTTAACATTAAATAATAATAATGTAAGCTGACAAAAGATGTTGTAGGCTCCAGTTGTTTTTATTTTACCAAATGTTTTGTTTTTCCTTTGTGATTTATTTTTTATTTTTTTTGTTTTATCAAAGGTTAATTTCACTCCTTTTGTTCAGTGGCTGGATCCCAGCGATTCTCTGATCCACCTGTGTTTTTTTTTTTATATTATTTTTTTATTAAGCATGCAACAGTTTATGTGGTCGTGCAAGATGACCTCTCTCACAGACATTAAACACTCAACAGAACCAAGTTTAATAGTTCAACACAGGTGGATCAAAATTGGTGTGATTTCCAGTCTCTCCCCTCCCTAGTTACGTGTTTGTTTTGTTTTTGTTTGGTGGAAACCAAATGCTGTGTATGAAGTCTCTCCTTTGTACTGTATATGCATTCTTTTGAGAAAAAAAAATATTAAACTTATACCTTAATTGCCTTTATCATGTTCTAATCCATTTCTTAAATGCATTGTTAGCTGAAGAGAACATTTCTAGAATGCCAGTGTATTTTTCATTTGATAAAGGGCGATTTCTTCAAGACTTTTTGTATTCCTCTGCAGTTTTTGGGCTCAAGACTGCTGTTGGTCAGTGTGATTTAACACAGCTGCTCTTGTGAGTCTTTTCTGCCAGCAGGGTGTGCTGAATGACCAGACAAGTAAAAGGCAGTCTCTTTGACGGTGATCTGTAGCAGTGAAGGTTTAGTGAGCATTTTCAGTCTTTTTATGTGAAAATGCAAATATCCATTCAAATTTGCCTTATAATAGCAGTATTTAAAGCAGGGTTTCTCAAACTTGGTCCTGGAGGGCCACTGTCCTGCAGAGTTTAGCTCCAACCCTCATCAAACACACCTACCTGTGAGTTTCTAGTGATCCCGAAGACCTTGAGTAGCTTGCTCAGGTGTGTTTGATCAGGGTTGGTTGATTTTAAAGGGTTAGTTCGCCCACAAATTATCCCATAATTTACTTCCCCTCAAGCCATCCTTGTTCTTTCAGTGAAACACAATCACATATTCTGTGTCTTCCAAGCGTTATAATGGGAGTGGATGGCGCATTAGATTTTGAATCGCAAAAAAGCGCATCCATCCATCATAAATGTAGAGAAACATTCATCAACTCGCACATCAGTTGTGGTAAACAGAAGCTCACACATGTTCGCTTGAGGTGTGAGAACCAATGAGCTTTATTATCTTGTTACGCAGCACGTTTGAGCTTCAGCAAGAACCAATGAGGTTTGCAGGATCGTTTGAGCTTGGTTATGTCTGTCAATGGTACAATATGTAAGAATTTTGTAGTAAAATACCCCAAAAGAACTTGCACAGTGTTATATATTTCCTGCTCCTCGGTTTCCGTTCTTACTGCAGTAGCCATGCCGTAACCATGGCGACAGACGTGGACAACTGTGTAGTGCGTAACGTTTAGCGTTTCTTTCAAACATAGACCATGGCAAGCAGACTTTGGGACTAACAAGAACTAAAATGAGGATCAATATCAGCGTGGTGTTTTTGAGATGCGAGAGCTCCACGTCCGCGACTAGCTTGGACTCGACAGATCTTCACGAGTCACGACACCACAGCTTTATTAGACAGGTGAGCAAATGCACATAAAACAAATCAATGTTTTATAACGTTAGCTCAATATTATGAAATGTTAGAATATGGTCAGTGTGTTATTCAAATGTTGATCTAGATTACTGTTAGTTACATTATAACTTAGCAATAATTATTAACATAACTTTCAACACATTTAAATGCCGTTTAGTGTGATAGTGTAACGTTAGACCAAGTGAAGCAGCGCTGCATTACCTCACAAGTTTAATATGTCTAATAAACTGACCTGTGTTAGTAATCCAGCACTTGCGGGTCGTTAGGTAGAATTAAATGTCCTTATTACTTTATATCCGTAGGACTCTTGTGTGATATCTGTCTCGTTAGCAATCGCTACCTGCTTCATACCACTGTAATGTTAAAAAACATGAATGTTTGCTCTCATCCATAAACATTTGTTAGATCCATCAGCTTGACAGCAAGTCCCATCATTCAGCTCATCACTGCGTCATCAACCTACGCCTTTGGTATTGTTGGAAACTGCACCCTCTTGTGTGTTATGAAACAGTAAGTAAAAAAAACCCTGCATATTGTGCCTTTAAGATGCCTGTTGATGTTTCAGATTACACTTTGGTGTTTGGGTTCCATTGCATGTCAACTAATTACCATTTAGATGTAAATATGATTTTATTTATAATAATAATTTGCCTATAATATGGCAAATAACATAAAAATTGCACTCGGCTTTCTTTTCATGTTATAATACAGTATATTATTCACACCACTCAAGACAAATGAAGCAGGGGTGGATGAGTTAACACATTCATTGAGTGTTTTACATGATGGCTGTCACCGTACACTTGTGTTAAACAGCGCAGAAAAGCTTGAATTATGAAGTGAAGAATGGCAAGCATTCCTTGGTGATGTTGGTGGGGGTGTCCACCTGCAGGACTTCACTCATTATCAGCTTCACTATCAGTGTGCAGGTTGGACCTACCAACAACTGTGCCAGAACTCAGATACAGATGATTATTGTTATGAAAACATCACCAGCTGTGCTGCCGTCATCGGGTGAATCTCAGGTAGCTGCCCTGCTCGTGTTTCACTCCAAAAAATTAAAAGGATGAATTAATGTTTTGTTATTATTTCTATTACTATTAAGTTATTTATTCAAAGATTAAGTCTCTGAAAACACTTTTTTTTTTTCGCATTGTGTGGTAGGCTTATTATTTTCATCATAAAATATTTATCTATTTAAAAAAAAAAATTTTTAAATATCCATATTTTAAAATATCCATTTATTATCTATTTAATAATATTTTTTTTTTTTTATAACCGTACAATTAAACCATTAACAATTAAACAGAGAAGAATAAAGAACAAAATACTAAACTTGGTTAAAGGAGTAGATCACTTTAAAAAAAAAAAACAACTTTTGCTGATAATTTGCTCACCCCCATGTCATCGAAGATATCCATGTCATTCTTTCTTCAGTCGAAAAGAAATTAAGGTTTTTGATGAAAACGTTACAGGATTTTCTCAATATAATGGACGTTATTGGGAACCAAACGGTTCAAGGTCCAAAAGACAGTTTCAGTGCAGCTTCAAAGGGCTTTAAACGACACCAGACGATGAATAAGGGTCTTATCTAGCGAAACGATCGGTCATTTCAAAAATAAATAAAAATAATTAAGTTTCAGCTTAAATGGTCACCTTGCTCTGTTCTGTGATGCGCGTTTGTGACTCTCCTGTTTGAAAAATGAACGAAACATTTTTTGAGTCATTTGGTTCATTCAACAAATAAAAATGAATGAATTGACTGTGAAAAGATTCATTTTGATGAAAGAAATTACAATGGAAATGCAGCTTTTGCACCCAAATCACCTCCAGTTACATGTTATGATGCCAATCCAATTTTTATAAGTATATCCTTTAATGTTTTCTTTCCTTTAGTTGTCTCGTTTCTTAAGAAGATGGATTAGTTTTTTCTTGTGGGCAAGCATTTGCACTCAGTGACTTGTACAGGTGTATCCTCAGAGGTGTGACCTGAGGTCGTTGTGATCCTATGCAGGTCTACCCCTTCACTTCATGCTCCGTACTCGCAATTTCCAGGTGGATGATTCAGAAATGTTCAACTTTTATCTGAGAATAGGGGTGATTTGTCATCTGGGCAGGACTTAAACCAGATTGTCCAAACTGTCCAGTGTTCTTGGATCTCTCCTGTCCCAAACGCTGAATCCCATCCAAAGCAAACATTAGGTTTGACGTTACTCTGCCATGCTCTTCTTGGACAGTGTTATAATGTCTCCCTCCGGATGGCATTTCTCTTCATCATGCCTGAAGGGCCAATTAGAGCCAAAGGCTAAACCTGGAAGGCCGCAAGAATCACGTAAGCCTCTAAAGACCCATAAATATTAGCGGTAGAGGTGACAAATGCAAGTCCACGTCTTTCAGTGATGGTGTTGTCACTGAGGTGTCAAGCGTAAGTCCGCATGTCGAGCGATGAAGCCGCAGATAAGCCAGGAGAGCGCTGGGTTGAAGCCTCGGATGTGCCAGTCAAAGCCAAACACGTTTGGGATGTGTTGAAAGGTTAGGCCGTGGACTGCAACAGCAATGAGCGTTGAAATATTACCGAGTCTTAAATCAAAAACCCACATCCCCTGCTCCCCGCCACCCTGTAACGTGGCAACAAGCAGAGCTTAAACTCAAGCCTTGCGCACATACCAAGTCTTTCTTTATGTTGGATCGTCTTTGGGAACATTAGTCTCACAGTTCTTTTTCCCTCTTGTCTTTTTTTGGGACATGAAATGCAGCTAATATTGGTCTTTGGGTTTAGATGGTGATATTTATCTATGAATTATATATGATCATGTTTATGTTGCTCAACTGCACTCCAAAAGCATATTTAGGCCTAATTTAAAGATTTGTATATTTGAATTGCATCTAAAATGAACTGCACAAGCTAATAAATCTGTAAGTTAAAAACTGAATGCATTTTAAATACACACTCTAAAAATGCTGGGTTGTTAACCCAACTTTGGGTCAAATATGGACAAACCCAAGCGTTGGGTTAATGTTATTAAAGAACTTTAACCCAATGGGTTTGTCTATATTTGACCCAAAGTAGGGTTAAAACAACCCAGCAATTTTTAGAGAGCACAATACAAATCAATCAATACAAATCCTTATATTTTTGAGTATTTCTCATCCGACTTGTGAAATGTTTCAGTTGCTAATGATATCCCAACATTTGGCAACTTTAATTTAGTGTATTGCATTTGAAGTATATCTTATATACAATAGTATATAGTATAAACTTTTTTTCCCGAATAAGCACCATATAGCTCAATAACAGGGTTTCGTTCTGAATGTTTTTAATGCAGATTAGGAATATAATAAAAATGCTATGGACACATAAAAGCAAGAATTTTCAAATTGAGCATTAACGTCACCATAAAAGATTTTAACGGAATATCATAGTGTTTATTATAAATAATTTATCTGTACACATTCTTTTTTAGTTCATCAAAACTTCCATCGCCAATTAACATACTTTCATCTGAAAAGTTATGCCATTTCACTTGGATTTACATCACAATACTGAAGCAAGAATCACATTCTATTTCACAATTTACCTTAAAACGTTTATTCAATAACAAGTTTAAATATATTTACAGAATAAATGACTAGATTTTCACCAAAATAGTCATGTGACTTATTAATTTAATGATTGTCCCAAGCTATATCCTTTCAGGCATTTGACACGGAACATTAGCAAACATGTTCATTAAAGTGTTTTTTTTTCTACAACTTCCATTTCTATTTTAGCGGCAGTTTCTTCAAAATTAAGATTCATTTTTTTGATTTTCTTAATTTTTCAGAATTTTCGTGATTTCTT